CAATAGGTATGACTTCAGGACTTGAGGAGAGTCACATGTTTGGGTCACCTGACCGTTTAGCCTGAGTTAATCCAGAGAATAAAGGAAGCTCAGTCTGCCGATTCCACCCTAGTAGCCCTCAAGAAAGATGTAGAATAGGGAGTTAGCTTAGAATTTTGAATCTCCGCCGATGGGTTGCTCAGATTCTAGGAAAGGGTTTGTGTTTCAGGTAACAGTGAGTTAAAGAGGAACATTATGACAGAGGTCCATAACTCAAAGTTTGCCATGCATCTTGGAAGCACTAAAATGTACCAAAGTATGCGATCCCGATTTTGGTGAAACGGGATGGAAAGAGATATAACTGACTTTTTGTCTAAGTGTTTGGTATGTCAGCAGGTCAAGGCAGTGCATCAACGCTAAGACGGGCTACTTCAGTCATTACCGATCCTGGAATGGAAGTGTGAACATATCACCATGGATTTCGTGATAGGATTACCTAAGACACGCTCAAGATATGATGCCATCTAAGTAATTGTTGACCGACTTACCAAATCTTTTCACTTCTTAGCCATTAGGATGACTAATCCATTGGACAAGTTAGCAAGAATGTATATCCAGAAAATAGTCAGATTACATAGAGTGCTAGTGACAGTAGTGTCCGATAGGGACCCCAGGTTCACTTCTCGATTTTGGAATAGTTTTCAGTAAGCCATGAGAATGAAGCTGTCCCTTAGTACTACATTCCACTCTTAGACCGATGGACAGTCAGATAGAACAATCAGTACATTTGAAGATATACTTTGAGCTCGTATCTTTGACTCCGGGGGCCATTGGGATGACCATCTACCCCTGATAGAGTTCGCCTACAACAACAACTATCAAACGAGTATTGGTATGACTCCGTATGAGGTGTTATATGGGCGCCCATACAGATCGCTGATTTGTAGGGAAGAAGTAGGCGATAGAAAACTGTTCAGCCCAGATCTGGTAGAGAAGACTATATCCAAAATAGTTAAGATCAAGAAGAACATTCAGACGGCTCAGAGCAGACAGAAGAGTTATGCGGACACCTGGAGGAGAAATTTGAAATTTGAGAAAGGCGATCGGGTGTTCCTTAAGGTCACTCATTTCAAGGGAATTAATAGGTTCGGCAGGAGGAAAAAACTGAACCCCTGATTTATCGGACCATTTAAAGTTTTAGACAGAATTGATACCGCCGCCTACAAACTAGCACTTCCTCAAGAATTTTCCAAGGTCCACAATGTATTTTATGTGTTCATACTACACAAGTACAACCTGGACCCCTCTAATGTCTTAGCCCATGAGCCTCTTCCACTTAAGGAGGATCTATCATACAAGAAAGTACCGGTTAGCATTGTGGATCGAAAAAACAGATTACTCCGCAACCGAAAAATTTCCTTTATAAAAGTCATATGGCAGAACCACACACCGAGGAAGGCTACGTGGGAGATAGAATTAGACTTTAGAGTCCAAAATCCCCAGCTTTTCGATTAAGAGTAAAAGACAAATTTGAGGGACCAAATTTCTTTTAAGGGGGAGAGAGTTGTAACACCCACAAATTTTTTGTGGTGATTAAATAATTAATAAATATAAATTTCATTAATTTATTTTATTTTAATGTATTTTGTTTTATTTAATTTAAAGTAAAAAAATGAAATAAAATTGAAGAGGATTTAATTGAAAATAATTTTGGAAAAAAGATGTGAAAATTTTGGTTTTGAGAGTATTTTTGAAAGAAAAATAAGAAAATAGGGGCCAAAATGAAATTTTAAAAAGTTTTGCCACGTCAAACGGGTCAACAGCTTGGACCAACCAGGACGCGCCAAGTGGCAGAGGCGCTGACGCGGGAGGCCACGTGGTGGGACCACGTGGGCGATTCGCGTGTCCACGATCGAACGGCTGAGGTTCGTTCCTACGTGCACGGATGGCCTGGATGCGCTCCCTTCCAAACGCAATCGAACGACTAGATTCAAACGCGATCGGACGACCCAGGGTGAATCGCGATGGATGACCCAGATTGAATTGCGATGAACGACCCAAATTCACTCGCTATTTAATTGCGATCGGACGGTCCAAATCAAACACAATAGACGGCTCAGATCAAAAGTAGATGAATATAAATAATCCCCATCCACACCAAACCCTAACCCAAGAGAACCCCTCGTCGGAGAAGACGACCCAGCCGCCG